GCAGTACTTGAAAATGCCACGCCCTTAGCGCTCCATCCACAATGCGCTAAACATGTGACGGATTCGAGTGATAGTAGGGCTTTAGTAGCACTGGATGGCTATGACACTTTTCAAAACACATTTCATGAACGTGGAAAACAAGTTTTTAGAACACATTTCATGAACTTGGAAAACACGTAAGTTACCACTCTTAAAAAAATAGGAGATTTTTTGTAGGTATCGTATACAAAAAGTATTTCCTACTGAGAAGGAATCTGTTTCCCCAAAACGCGATATCTCAAATACTACTGCAAGGTTCGTTGTGAAAATTCGGGTGTATGTGATACCAGTTTCAGTCTGTTCTGAAGCAACGACATCCGATGGGAGCCAAAAGCTATTCCGCAACTACGGACCAGATCTCAAGCAGCTATCCGAAAGCACCTGGATACGAAAGGGGACCGTTATCGGTACTGCTCCTGTTTTACCTTCTAGTCTTAATTGTTCTATATACACTAAGAAACGAGTGGTACCACATCTTTTTTTTAGCCGAATCGAAGTAATGAATCATCGATGGGAAGGCTTCGTACTCATTCGTTGAACATGGCTCATCTAGACCTCGGAAGACGTGAGTGACATTTCTCACTACTCCTCTTCAACTACGTCTATCTTGTTTGTAATGTTGAACGGGTGATTGCTTACAGGCTGAGTTCACGATAAAAAGGCAGCCTACTGCAATTCAAGGTAGAGGTCTGTGATGCAGGGATGAAGAAAAATCATGAAAACGGCAAAGAATCTGAGAATTGGGAGCGCTTCTTGCCTTGTGTGATAGGCCTTGTTTCTGACCTCATCGGCACCAACGCTTTCCCTGCTAGGGCGGTTAGAGTCAGACGGCGAGAGGTCAGCCAATAAATGGGAGTGCAGCGGCGGTATGGGTGCGGCCCTGCTAGGCCGTTGGGGGCAAGGTCAACCCTACCGTTGGTACACCGGAAATATTTACGCCCCACCCCCTTTTTTCGGGGGCCTTGGCACTACCCCTTTTGTGTATGGAAACATTAACTTACAATGGACTGTGAGAAACTACGGGGTGCGTATGTAGTTCCCATTTCCCTGCTGCTCCTGTCCCATTCAAATGAAATCTCAATCGACTTAACACCTTCTCTTTCAAGGGTCATAAATTCTTGAAATTCATGTTTTTGCGACGAGGTTTGAGAAATGAGAAAATTCAAATCATGCTCTCTCCAAAGCTCGCTTCGTATCCTTTAAAATATCTAGTAAAAATTCAGCGCGGCGGTACTTTTTTCCGTGCACATGCGAGTTCTCAACCTTCAAACGATCACATCTTCCTTCAAAGTCATTAATTTGGGAAGCTTTATTCGGTATGACAAAGTTCAGGGCTCAAGATTCCTGACAAGTAGTGAAACTTTTTTGGAGAACCAGATTCGAAAATTGGTTCCATCAGGAGATTTTTGGGGGGTTCGCGGAACTATTTTTCTGAAACCGCGACTTTTCAACTTTCAAATGATCAGAACTTTTTTCAATCTCATTCTTTTAGGAAGTTGAACTCAGTTTGACAAACTCCAGGCTCTAGCTTTATGAGAAGTATCGAAATTTACTTAAAAAATTAAAAATCCGCTCCTCAAGTAAACTCTTTTGTAGAAATTTTATAAAAAAATTTTCTTTAAAGCCCATCCTTCATACTATTGAAATTTTCTTCGTTTCATTCACTCCAGAAAATTGGATTCTGAAACTGTTAGTTGTCACTGGTGACTCGATCTTAAAGCTCTTTGCACTAGCATGGGGTGCGCCGTGCCGGCGCTATACTTCTAATTCGTCCATGCAGTTTAAAGTCGGTCTCGATTCTCACTGCTGATCACCGCAGTTACGACCTCCTCCCACCTCGTGGGTACATACCACCCTTCTTTGGTACTTGTACCAACATAGATCGGCCCTGGTTGGGGACACTCTGCTCTGTAAACCGCGCATCATTGACTTTCTTAGGCTGCCGCGCTTACTCACCTGCCATATTCCTCCTATTGACTTCGACTATTACGTAATATCTTCTTTACGACGGAAACAAGGCCACGGTCCACCTATAGAACCTCAGTCCATATTATAAGGCAGCTGCGATCGTGTTAACATGATTCTCGAAGTGACCTGTGTAGTGTCGCCCGGCATCGGGGGAGAACGTCCGACAGCAGAAAAAAATTGCCTTTCGGAGACGTGCTGATTTTGCGTATCAGGATGATCAGGCTGTAATGTTAGTGGCTTTGAAGCAGCTCCTGGCACATCACTTCCATCGCATTCTTCACTTTGCCGATCTGATAGTGGATTTCATGCCGTTACAGGTATTTCCTGTTCATTTTTCTCCTATAAATTTTTATGAATCAATCACTAAGATTTTTTAATCATATTCTTTGAGTTTTGTTTTCTTCATTTGTGTAGCTAACTGTGTCCTTGTTTCATTAGCGTAATTGGTATCAATCGGATGAGTTCAATAAAGTGACAAATCGAACCTAATCGAATAAGCAATTGTAGAGCGTACACTGCGAGACCGGAGAACGATGTTAGCGATTGCATCGCTTGTCCGTCGCCGAGTGTGACGTCGATCTAACGCAAAAGAGCACTCATCTGATGCTCACCAGATAAGTGCCAGAATTTTTGTCCTTAGTGTTTCTGGTTGTGATGGTGCCTAGGATAACTAAACCATTTATCGATTACTAGCTTAACAGTAGACTTGAGTGCGTGATATTTTACCCCCCCTATTAGTCAGCATGGACGATTACTGGTATTTAAAGTTAGGTTGGCTGAATAATCATTTTGTTTTCAGAGAGCTCAAGCTTAGACTTGCGCGATTGAAGGCATCAGAACTATTTCAGAATATTTCAGGAAACAGTGATCAATCTTCTTTCCATTGTTTTACACTGAGGTGATCTTAGCTCCTCCTCTGAAAATTCTTTGGATTAAGTTAAACAACATCGGTCAGTACGATATTGATATTACGTAGCCATAAGATATACAACTAGATATTTAGCAATAAGTTTTTAACAGCCTTTTGAATTAGTTGCTTATTGATTTCCCCGTTGACCGACATTTTAGCATTTCGCGCTCTCCCTTTTTCATGCTTAGTGGCTAGTAGTTTGAATTATATAAACTTTCATAGTTTCTGTGCTGATTCCCCGCTTGTGCCAGACACCCGATTTTTCCAATGCTTTTATCGGGGCGATTTTCATTTTCTGACATTCTTCCCGATTGCGCTAACGCGATTCCAGTTTTGAGCGTGGCACCAAGGTAAACATTGCATTGAAAACAGGCCTGTGCATAGACACCATTAATAGAATCACGATAACGACTCCCTCCTCTCATTATCAGTGTGAACTACAATGTCGACCGTAGGTGTTTGCTAGTTTAACGTGGCAGCATCATTGACCCTAAAATCCGTCGTCAAACGATTTTGGGAGTACATGTACTGCTGAGAACAGAATTTTAATTCTATGCGGATAATCAATTTCCTCATCCTTCTCTCTTACAATATGCTACGACTAGAATTCAAATAGTTTCAGCAGGATGCCCCGTCCACCCAGATCTTCTCTTTTTTTCTCAAAGAGGGCGACACTTTTAGAGGATACCACCGTGTTCACTAGCGCTGATGACGTATTTAGGCTCTTCCTGGTTATTTCAGCACTTTTCATTTATATACGAAGTTATTACGATATTAAAAAAATCGAATTTCCATCGTGTATGAATTAGACCTTTGATGGTTCGCACTACAAGTTTTTATTATCAGTGTCGTCAGTGTCATCACCGATGCGTATACCGGGTGTCGAGTCATTTCATACCTCACCTCTCACATCCTTTGGAGAGATGCTGTTCGGACCAACCAAGTCCCTTCTCACCAGCCATCTCAAATTCAGCATTATGACATCGCGGTTGAGCTTACAATTAATTTTACTCTTCAACTCAACATTTTAGTTGATCATTCGCACCAATATGCGGCTAAAAAAGCCAGCTATCCCTTAACAATGATGAAATGTAATACAAAGAGCTTAGTCTCCCGGTTTTCTGCCAATATCGGGACTACCGGTTCATCACTTTATACGTGTGAAGCTGATATTGGTAACTTCACCATCGAAGCTGAGTTGGGGTGAAATGGTGCCCCGGTGGTGTAACTGGTAGCACAATTGCCCGGAAAGCAAGAGATCCGGGTACGAATCCCGGCTGGGGCGAAAGTTTTGCCCACAACTCAGCATTCTTGTGATAACTTTCGCAACGCGAACTGCGGCGTAAAACGGCAGTTATCCAGTAAAAACAACTTGAAAGGGTTCCCATAAGTGTTTGACCCAACTCCTTCTCGCGATTTTTGAGTTGAGAACCTGTGAGGGCTATTCTCAGTTGGAAAACTCTCAACAGTCGCTATAGTACGTTAATGCTAAGTACAACAACCGTCCTAGGAATCATTCAGCATCCGTTTCCCTGTACTGCAACTTGTGAAGTATTTTTTTTTGCAATCAGTACAGTCCCGATATTTTAGAAGAAGTACAAAAAGCCACCGCAGACGTCTTATGTCAAACTCATGTCAAAATTGATACTTTTGGTCATTTTTCTATAGTTTCCACCAGTAATGATGCGAAATTTGTTCAGGACTGAACTTCAAAGAAAGTCGCATGTTTCGGTTTAGTGAGCGTTTTTCACATTTTTCCAAACAGCAAAATTTCCCTATTTTATCCCTTCAACAAAAATTGACTAAATCATAGCCTTTCATCACGAAATGAACGTATAACATTCTAGTACAACTAGTAACAAAGAAGATCAAGGAGGAAACAATTTTAGGTCAAAAAACACAGGGAAGCTTCCTTGCAATTTTGAAACATTTGCAGGCTTTTGGAAAAAAAGTCATTCCCCTTGGCCAGAATTGACTTCACGCCTCCTTTACCTCGCGTGGAAATCGAAAGCATGAAAAATGCCGACCAAAAATATCAAGTTTGGCATGAGTCATGGCAAAAGACGTCTGCGGGATTCTTTTCTGAAAGTAGTGTAAAAAATGCAAACTGATATATGCTTCTGGACCTTGAGTTTCAATGGTAGAGAACTTTATGTCGCTTATTTTCATGAGACTTTGCCATAAACCACAACGCTTTTTGTGTATTGAGGAAATACATGTCTGTAAAAAAATTGGTATCGGCCATTTCCTAATATTCCGGTCAGTGTCATTTTTAGGAAGGACCTGACATGAGCGACGAGTTAGCGAAAACAAAGATCGAACTGCGATCACATCACGAAAAAGTTGCCATTTGGGAGGAGGGTCTGAAGCAGGCACGTCAAGCATGCGAAGCTTGGAAAGCTGATGCTGAACACTACATCTGAATGTGTCCTGAAGCAGCACTGAAATGTGATTTTAAAAATCTCGAGGCGCATTATGCTTCTTGAAACACGCGACCAGGTATTAAAGCGCCATGATTGTCATTGTTGTGGCCCCGAGATGTCTCAAAACTTGTGCTTGATTCCGTTAGAGCGCAACAAAAAACTCCCATTACCTGTCTATCTCAGTATACAACATTCAGGGAGGGGCATAAATATGGTGACAAAGTTATTGTGGCCCAGTTCGAACCAGAAAGATCGAATTGTGATATCAAAGTCAGCAACGTATGAGCATATCCTTCCAAACCTTGAATACCTTGATGTCCGCTCTTCAAGGACTATCTCGCCATCCTTGCAGGACGCATCTATGCCATTCGTTCTCGATTTCTTGCCATTTGTTGCCATCTCTGTCCAAATAATTTCCTTAAAGGATCACTCCACCTGGCTGGGGGTCTTCCTTGCCTTTTAACTCCGCGGGGATACCAATTGGTCACTCGGGATGTCCAACGGTTATCGTTAAGACGAGCAACGTGTCCTGCCCATCGCTTTTTCGAGTCATAAATAGTCTCGATCTATGAGATCAGCATCTATGTGCATCCTTTCAAACAGTTGTCTACATTTCCTATTCAAAATGGCTGCCTATGAACTTGGCAACTTCCTTCGAACTTTCCCTACAGAAAATGACCCTTGCCCGCATGACATCCTTCAGAACTTCATCTTATACTTTTTAAAGAGCGGCTATTAGCATCCATTCAAACTGTGTTGTTTCGCGCACTTCTTCAGCTTCAATATCGACCACAATAAATAATCCGCTACATTCAAATCGGAGGTTTTGGCTGGCCAATCTTTGTGCAGCCAAAGTCGGACAAATGGGCTCTGCAGCAGACTTTCACAAAATTAATTCCGAACCGGCATACCTCCTTGCTAATGGGTCCAATTGTTATGAGTAGTAAAGGTGGTGGAAGCTTCCTCCAAAATGCTATCTTGGTTAGCATTTGGCCTGAGATTTTACTCCCACACGAGCGAAAACCAACTGAGATGAAGAAATCGCGGTTGCTCAGGTTCAGTTCATCGCTGAGCTAGGAGGTTGTATTTGATTTGCGTTGTTCCTGCTCTGCTAGTTTCTTCGGAACTCCTAGTATTATTTCTGAGTTTTCTCGAATGAAGGCATGATTGTTATAAAGAACAGCAAGGGTATTTTCGTCAGTGTACATCGGGCTCCCATCGCGGCTCGCACCCCTAACTCTCGATATTTTTCAGCAAGTTCTTCCTTTCCCTATCTAAGGGAGCTTGTCGTTTACGCTATTTATAAGCATGTTTTCCTAGCTTGCTATGCAGAATTCGTTTGGCCTCATAGCCTACTGTTGAATTCGTAGCCAATTTTATCATCGCTGTCATTATACCGCGGTGGATACTCTTCTTGGCAGTATTCACAGCCGCCTTTTGGTTTCTGTGACCGATTGTTCTCTATGAGGAAGACCACCATGTGTGCAGCAATAGAGTGTTGTGTGACGGTATGGCGATGCGCCCTTCAGAAATAGCAGATCTCGAAAAAAATCCCCCTGGCAGCGCGGGAGAGTGGAAATCTTAGTTTTTTTTTCGGACTGAAGCAACAGTCCCACATGGTATCATATTCGATTATTATGGGGTGGAAAAATGTACTAGCCCTAGTCAAGAACATCTGAAAAATTACTGAAAAAAACTCACCTTTGAAAGCCGATAGAAGAAATTAGTCGAACGCTCGAAGTGGGCGGGACTTACAAATCAGTAGACGCGTGTGTTGGCGGTCGTTCGATTGTAACGATTGTAAAGATCGGACGACCAACTATGTTGACTGACGAATTGGATGCGTATCGATTGTATGACGTGTCCTAGGACACGATGATCGATACGCACCCAATGCAGTGCGATCTTAACGATTAATAATTTTGACCAAAATTAAAAGTTATTCTTGTGGTCAGGTGTGGGACGTCTGAGGAGCCGCCTAGGGAAGAGAACACCGCGAGAGTGCGGGCCATACGAGAAAGCGGCTCCGTGTCAACAGAATCGATGGGATCGCCGCGCCAGTAGGCGTGGCCACGACGGCGCGGCGGGTGGGCGTGTCCATTGCCAGATATCGGATGTACTAATGGCGTGGGACTTTCTGAGCATTCCGATGACTGTGATTGTGAATGACTGTTCAGCGGAATTTCTAATTGTTGAACCCTACGTGTTCTACTTTCGGAGCAAGGATACAGTCACTTTCATTAGCTATCTTAATATTGTAGTTGTTCCTTATCTGAATCTATAATAAGCATGTAGCTTTTTGGGCTTTGTGATCAAAACATGAATATAATTTGTCTACACTACTACTAAGTTTCACTCACAGTGTCTCTAAACAGCGCCATTATTTTACAAAACACATTTTCTCTATGAGAACCGTGTGGTAGCGAACAAAATAAAGAACTACGACGACCAGTAAGGTGATCCTATCTTTGCTCTGATTAGGTGTGTTTCCTGGACAAATAACTTGAATTATTCTGATGTCTAAAAGAATTGAGAGTCAAAGTTTCGACTTCTTCCTTTTGCTGTAAGCCAAACTATTGAGGTATTTGCTTCGATGCGCAATCGTGATTCAGCTCTTACATGCTCTCAACACGCTGAATTTTTGAATGTGGTCATAAAAAAGATGTTCGGGATGAATCGTTCACTCTGGGTTCGTTCAAACAAAAAGGATGTTTTAGATAATGTTGTAGTCAACCATATGATAGCCACACCATATGATAGCAAAGCAATAGCTATTTTTAGGTCTTATTCCTGCGAATATATAATAGTTGACTATTAAAAGAATTGTTTCGAGTCAACATAGTGTTGCAGTCATCACGGCAAAGTACCTTGGGACAGGTTCTGTAACCATTGTTTTCCCCCAGATATAACCAATTACACGTATGGTGCTGGCGGCTTCGCCTCAGGCTCTTGTCTTTAGGACTAGGTCGCACAATCTCAATCATTCTTCATTGCTCGGACAAACATCACAGAAATGTCCAGTGAGGAGAATCCAATTGAGATTTCGTTTGAATTTGTTGTTTTGAGCCCCAGAAAGGTTGCGATAAGCCGCGGTATATATGACTCGATGCAAACAGTTTTTGTTCACAGC